GAGGTATTTAAAAGACGTGTAGATGAGGTGCTTAGGGACATGGTTTAGTGGGCATGGTGGTGTTGGGTGTTGACGGTTACTCGATGATCTTAGAGGTCCTTTCCAACCTCAATGATTCTATGATTCTATGATTCTATGATTCTATGATCCAGGTAGCACAGTATGTTGTGGGTTGGGTTTTTTGGTCCTATGTTTTAAGAACTAGCAACAAGCACATGCTATTTGCCTTTGAGAACTATTTGTAAAATAATTAATGACATTTTTATTTCTCTCGTATTTGTTTGATTGGTACTCAGTTTTTAAAAACATATTCTTTGTCATAGTATTTCAGTAAATAGATTCAAATAGACTTTGTCCTACTGATAGGGATCCTCCTTTCAGCCAAAACAAGAAAACCAGCGGTGCAGAAGCAGGTCCTTCTCTGCTCGTGAGACTGAAACATTAAAGGGACGGGTGACAAGTTGTCCTCTTGACTTGTTTCATGCTTCCCGTGTCTGCATTCAAGCTAGATAGATCACAGATCTCAAATATAATTTTTTACATCTATTTCGAGTGGAGGTGAAGAAAAAGAGCTTTGAATGAGAGGGTGGGTGTTTGTTTTTAAATATGCTGACTTCAGTGAGTCTGACCTGAGTAAGAGTAGCCCAACATAATGGGGATATTCTGAAAGGTTTTCCATCTCTAGTTTGTTATTCTATGTAACATTGCTGTACAAAAAATGATGGGACTGGGTAGTTAGGGTAGTTATTTTGATTGTTTGATGATTTTTCCCAAATTAAATCTTAAATTTTTGCTAAAAGTGTGATTTGTCTGTACAATTAATAAATAACTTTTTATGGTCTTTCAGCGTGAGAAGCTGATACATGAGTTGGAGGAAGAAAGACATTTAAGACTTGAGAGTGAAAAAAGATTACGGGAGGTGACACTGGAGTCGGAGCGTAGCAGAGCTCAGATGCGTGGGCTGCAAGAACAGTTTTCCAGGTATGTTGCATAAGTAAACTATGTTCAAAATATGGGAAGAACGTACTTCGGTGCAAAAAGATTGATCAAACCTGTTGATAGCTTGAATGGATGGAATCTAAGGCAAAAACTGCGCTCTCTCTGAAATTTTGTAAACATGATGGGCTTTTGGCTAAATGATTGTTAGCATCCTGTGAAACTTAAAAGGCTTATACCATCATTCTATGTAATGGTGAAAATTTTCATTTCTAGAGATTTTGCATTTGTTAGAACTCCCAATAATTTTCTAAGTACAGGTCTTCGCTTCTCAAAAAGTGCATGTCATTGATCAGTCAGTATTTGGTTCCTTGTTTCTGTTAACCAACAAGAATGGGTTTGATCAATCTGAATAAAGGAAAAAAAAAGTGATGCCTTTTACCAGCTGGGTAATCATCCTGCTTGGACATGCTTCGAATCTCTTTCTGTATTGACTGGACCAGAGCTTTGTGCTAGAACAGAGCTCCACTTACAAAGGAACCATTTTAGAACTGGGATTTAAGACAAACCATTCATATGACGACAGTAAGGATTTGAGTTATTTATTGTTTTCATGATGCATGATGAGATCTTGTACATCAAATAGAATTTTTTACTGTTTTTGTCACATGAGCAGAAACAAAACAATCAAAATCAAAAGACACAATGGAATTTTATGTTGTGTATTTTCCATCAAGACTGAATATTAACTCATTCCCTCAGGCTCCCAAATCGTTGAAAGGTTCAAGTTCAGTTTAATATGGTGAAAACAAGCTGTGGGGTGGGTTTTTTCTTTGGTTATTTTTGTTGGGGTTTTTAGGGTTTTCTGTGTTGGGCATTTTTTGTGTTTTTTTTTCCTCAGTGTCTGCCATGCTGCTCCTCTGATCTGAGATTGGGTTTCTAGGCAACGCTGCAAAAGCTGTTAATAGCAATAATAAAATTTGTTCTGATCCGTTATTTTGTTTTTGTAAAATTTCCATTAATCCTCTTCAGATTTTAAAAAACTATCAAAGTGTTCAGATAAGTCTGAAATTCTTTCACTAAAAATGCTAAGGATATTTCTTTTTTAGTTTTTTGTTGTTGTTCTATGTTTTTTGTTTCAATTTTTACTTACTCTGATGAGACTCCCTAAGTAATATACACAAAATAAATCCACCCTATGAGTGTTCTTGGTTAGAATATTTTGCTCTGTTATATATTAATCTTTGTTTATGGAAGAATTTCCTGAGGTCCTGAATTTAGAACAGTATTATTGTTACAATAACTAGAAGCCTTTGAAATAAACTTTAAAGATGGCGCAGCCCTGATTAGGAAAAAAAGAAAAGAAGAGGTGAAGGGAAACCAGTCTCCAGAGTAACGCTCCCAGTAACTTGGTAAAATTTTAACTGTTGCATATTCAAATCTTTTCAGGATAACCCTTCATTATTCCTGTGAAACCGTGGTAGTCTGATTCAGTTCTACAGTGTTTCTGAAAAGAATAACTGTGTTATTAGTTAGGATCCCTGAAGTCCACTATCTTCAAATTAATCCATTCTTTTTCTTCCGTTGCTATTTGCAGTCTGGCTTGCTCTGATCTATCAAGAAGCAAAGGGATGCAAGTTCTTTGGATTAAAGTTGTTTGTCTCTTTATTTTTGTACCTCTCATTTAGATAAAGGTGAATGCTGTCTAAATCAGTATTATGTTCTTTTTAAGGCTGCCTACACGTTAGCTATACTGTTTGAAGGCAAACTTAAATATCACTTTTCATTAATGGCACCTAAGGTTGGCCCTGTTATTACCAATGATGAAAACTGCCGTTGGCGTCATCAGGCTATGATTTTATTTTAGTGTAGACCAGATGCTAGGAAGAGAATGCATCACTTAAATACTTCATTTGCTTTTAAAACATTATATTTTTTATGATGAATATTAGAGATTATTTTTTCTTATGTTTATTAGAATATTAAGATATTTGCTTACAAAAACAGACTTTCTCCCTAAATGAGTGTATTTTTTCTTACCCTGCTTGAGCAAGTAATGACACTGGCAATGGGGTAATTTTGTGCTGCTTAGAGATTATGTATTGTTTGAAGGATTTGAGACTTTTTTCTCAATTTGAGAACAATTAAATGGGATGAGACAGGTGGTGATGGGAGGAGATGTTAAAATCAAGCAAATTGGAAGTATTTTGGAAGAAGATGGCTAGAGAGTAATACTTTGGGCCCAAATGTTCTGGCTTTCAGATGCAGATAGCCTAAAGTAAGAACATACATTATAGCATAAATCTTTTAAATCTGTGTCATTCCTGAACTGAGTGGATTTACATAGACATTCCTACATATACATGCAGTGCAGTATGTTAAACTGTGATTTAGAGGATGGCTTTTTGCATCTCAAAATATTTTCTCTGCATCTTTGAAAGAATGAAACATGATAGTTTGTGGAAAGCTGTGAGCTGACCTTTGTAATCAGGGGAGGAAAGCTGCCTATTCCTATCTGAAATTGTGTGAAGACTTTAATCTGTCATATAAGCATATAGTTTGAGATGGAGGAGTTCAGAAGGCAAGGGTTTTTTTTTATTGACTGACGTTTCTGTTCTTACCAAGTAAGCAATATTCCAGGCTAGGAGTCTGAAATAAATCGAAGTTCTCTTTCTTAATATCTGTATAAATCTGCCAGAGCCTTAAAGTGACACAGTGGTTAGTTTGATAAATATGTGACAGTTGCTGTAGAAGGAGAAAGAGCTTTTAAAATCAAATTTCTTCTCCAGAATTGTACTGTGGTGTATCCATGTAGTTTAAAATTTGTTTTCTAATTTTATTGGAGGTGAATATATTTGAGGTGTGGAAAGATCCTGCAGGAAAACCATTTAATGCTAAAGCTAGGATTTTACACTGTATTGGATGCAGTTATTTTTGCATTACCTTAGTATAATCTCACCTTGAGGTGAAATTCTTGATGTTTTCTTTCTCAAAACCACTGAGATCTGTTGCTTTGCTGCAGCTGTTCTGTTAAATTCTATAAGGCCCATATATACATGACAATGTATAGATGAATGTTGTGCAAATGCATGAAGACTAACCCTATAAATACCTATCAGCCCAGTTTCTTCCAAGACAGTGTCATGCAGTCTGACTTTCCCATTTTGATTGTTGGCAACTGTTATGTGTATACTGGCGGGCCACTATTTATGTTAGTATTATGCCTGCTGCCTCTTTATCTAGCTCTAGAGGAAATTAGGTTAATTCTTTTTGGTTTGTTTTTTGTTTGTTCATTTTTTAGGAGTTTTTTTGATTGCTCACAGTTTAACATTAGTTCCTCCTTGAAATTCTTATATCTTGACATTAGAGAAGAAAATACACTGTGTCTCATGTACCTCCTTGTTCTTGGTTTCAGCTGTGCTTTTCCTGCTTTCAGCATCTTCCTACAACAGTAGGAACAGAAATGCAACAACCCTGCCTGAAGCAGTAGGTGTGATTTATAGTATCACTCTAAAAAGCACAGTAATACACACAATATAAATTGATTACATTTCTCTGCTGTACATCAGTAAGCAATAGAAATTGTTGTCTGTTGAGTGCATGCAGTACATGTAACTCCAAACTGGGATTAAATGTTAAAGCAGTAAAGGAGGTAGCTTCACTTAAGTTATTTTGATTACTATTTTGGTCTAAATGAAACAAGTTCAATAAACACACTACTGTAAAGTATATCTGTAAACAGTAATTGAAGAGGCTGGTATAAAATCTTAAAATCCCCCTTGGGTAAATTTCAAAAATTCTTTCAGTTAAGATGATCTTGTTTATAGGTATCAATGTCTGTGACTGGAAAACTGCCTCAGGCTTTTAAGAATGGATGTTACTGGAAAAGTAGGAAACGGTCCTTGTTTGATCTCCCAGGGTCCTGCAAATGGTATGAGTGCAATTCTCATTAGATTGTATTTCAGCATTCCCCTCACATTAATATTGACCGTAGGGTTAAGCCTGTCACTTCTGACAAGGGGAAAAATGACTACTACAAATCTGATAACACTTCGCATAAAAGGACTGCATGGCTATTGGTTTAAACACATCCTACATGGTTTCCTCCAATTATTGTTAATTCCCCTTGCTCCATTCTGGCTTCTCAGTAGGTGAGTGGAAATTATAACTGTTTTCCTAGCAGCTGTGATAAAGAGATTTTTTGCATTGCATCAACATGTTGACGTTGCATCATCACATTGTAATTTCTAATGCTATTACACCTGCTTGATCTAGAGGTCGCCACCTGCTTGCACTTCAGTGGCCTTACTGCCATGACTGGTAATCCATATACAACAGAGACTGTGTCTGGAAAGTATAAACCAGTAGGATTCCTTGGTAGCCCCTGTGGTCAGTCGCTTTGTCTAATGCCCATTGAATGCCAATTTAAACCATTAATAATATTTTAATCTAGTTTCTGGGGAGGTTAAAATGCTCTCCTGGCAGCCACTGATGGTATTCCTTTGATTTTATCATAGCAGGGATGAGTAAAATGCCATGTGGGAATTCAGTCCTTGTCTCAGAAGAAGATTACAGAAGGAGCCGTCTACAGTTTTCCTCTTCTCTTTTGTGTAGTTCTGCAGTAATCTCTTATCATCCTCCCTGAGTGGCCTGTATGTAGGGTTATTGAGGGATGGAGATTGTCACAAAGATAGAGTTTATATCAAAGGCTGATCTTGTCATCCTACCCTATGTTTTTAGATACCGCCCGATTTTATTAGATGGGGCTGTGTGAAATTCTGTTACAAAGAAAACTAGTGAATAAGTATAAAACACAATTTGCCGACTTGAAAAAGTGCTCCACGTCTGGTGCATATCTCACTTGTATGCTTGCTGCCTCCTTTGCTGCTGACCATCTTCAAACATGTTTTGGTGGGTTGACCTTGGCTGGCTGCCAGGTGCCCACCCAGCTGCTCTCTCACGCCACCTCCTCAACAGCACTAGGGGAGAAAATAAGAAGAAAAGAAGCCTCATGGGTCGAGATAAGGACAGGGAGACCACTGACC